CCTAAATTTAACACTTAAAATAATACATAATTTTCATTCGGATTCTGCTTAGTACATTCTAAAGCTACGTACTATATTTTAAAATAAGAAAAAATTATAAGTTTATAATATAATTAAAACAATAATCCATGGTAATTAAACTCTATCATTAAAATTAATATTAATTCAAGTCTTAAACATTTTACACATTCCTTTTCAATTAGGTATCATGCTTCTATGGGAACACTTACAAATTTGCTTAATTACTTCCTCCCCATTTTAGTTATATTTTAAAGTATTATGAGATTAAAATGTTCCCATTACTTCTTAATGCAATTCTCTCATATTTCATTTCATTTATTTTATTCAAAAAGAAAAAAGAAAATTTCACTAAATTACGCTTCTGAGGAGGGGAGTTGCGATTCCCCCCTACCCCTGCCGGATCTCCCCTATCTTCAGTTACCTCTACGGGGTAACTATAGCCCCAAATCCGGCTGGATCAGGGCACTCCAGCGGCGAGCGCAAGCAGAAACCGCGCACGATGGTGGATTCCTGCCGTCGCCGAAGCCCTACAAACCGGAAGACAATTCTTCTCTCTTTTCTTCAATGAGATCTGAATCTTAATGTCCAGGTTATTTTTCGACTGAAGGAATAAAGTGCTCCCCTCTAAAATATAGCAAATTCTATCGTTGGCTTATTTCAGTATGGCAAAAACCGGGAATCTACCCTGATGAATTTGGCAATAGAGAATTGACTTCCAAAATGCTGGTGCACACCCTAGGGAGGAGGAGGAAGTAGGCAGAAGCCATGGAGACTTCCTAGAACAGTGATGGCTAACCTATGGCACGCGTGTCACTCATGACACGCCGAGGCACTTTGACTGACACGCCTGTTGGTGTGGGGAAAACCTGCACATTTAGAGGCTGCCTGTGCTCTGCTCCAATCCCTGCTCCCTGCTTGTTGCGTGGAGGCGTGGTGTCACCGCTGCCGCAAGATCTTTGCAGCAGAGAACCAGTTTTAACCGCCCTAAACTGAGGTTTGTCAGTTTCATTACCTCAGGAACGCTACAGGAGGAAAGGAGATCCATGAGGTTCACAGCCCTGTAAGGTGGCCTTCCGATCCCCACATCCTGCGCCTGCAGCCCTGAGACCAGGGAGACGAGTTTCACAGCCCTGTGTGATCACCCCAGCCCAGTCCGTCATAAACCAAATTATTGATATTTCTTGGAAGTGACACACGACCCGAGGAAGGCTACACTTTTTCCTGATTTTTGACATACCAAGCTGAAAAGGTTAGCCATCACTGTCCTAGAAAGTAGTCCAACTCTTGACTGAAACAGGTTTGTTTGTTTGTTTGTTTGTTTGTTTGTTTATTTATTTATTTATTTATTTGATTTCTATAAAGCCGACGTGGCACAGTGGTTAGAGTGCAGTAGTGCAGGCTATTTCTGCTGACTGCCAGCTGCCAGAATGTTGGCAATTCGAATCCCACCAGGCTCAAGGTTGACTCAGCCTTCCATCCTTCCAAGGTCGGTAAAATAAGGATCGAGATTGTTGGGGGCAAGAGGTTGATTCTGTAAAAAAACACTTAGAGGGAGCTATAAAAGCATCGTAAAGCAGTATATAAGTCTAAGTGCTAATGCCATAGCCGCCCATCCTGGCAATCAACACCAGAAGGTTCACAATTCAGAAACGTAGATTAGAATTAAAATCTTTAAAACATTTTAAACAATAAAGACAGTAAAAGCCAATAAGACACACGCCCCCCCAAAAAATCAAAACATTAAAATGTCTAATCCTTGTCTTTTCTTGTTGGAAAGAAGTAAAACGCTAACTTAGCATAGATCCAGACTGTCAGACAACTGTCTCCCTGCTTTGCAAAAAAAAAGAGATTTGCGGAGGTCTGCAAATAAGGACTCCTGTATCTCGATATGCCTGTTCAATCCCCAAGAGGTATGTTATGTGTGTATTTGAGATGAAGGATAATGAACTTGGTTTCTTAAACACAGCTCAGTTTAGAAGCCAACCACTTTTGGAAGATGCTAGAAGTCGAGAATAGATTTTGGGCATTGACGACTGTGGCAAGAAAAGTCGTAAAATAGAGCAAACGTCTCATTTGGCAGCCGAAATGTTGGGGTCAATTGTGGTCGGAAGTCGAGGGCTACCTGTTACACAAACACACAAGCATACACACACACACACAGTTGTTGTTTTTTACAATTACACTAATGCTGAAAGGTGTTGAATGTACACCCAGGGTCCTTTTCCAACAGCTTTAATGAGTGATGATGAAATTTGCCTGCTTCTGATAAGCCAATTAGCACCTTCTGTGAGATAAAACAAAAATTATTTCCCGTCAAGTCAGAGGTGGCCATTTTAAGAAACTGCCTTTACTTTGAAGTTTTTGATCTCCCTTTCAGGTCATCTTTGGGAAAGACAGACAATGTCCATGGCTTCCGGGGGTGCCTTTCTCTAATTGGTCCTTTTCTGGAGGTTAGATTTAAATTTATTTATTTTTCCATAAAATAATGACAAGCAGAGAAACAAACCCAGCTGAGGTTGGAGTGATAGAACATTTCAAATTTTTCCACTTTCAATTTCCAAACATTAGGGTTGCTCAAAGGTTGTGACATGCCTTGGGGATTGTAAAGATATTTTGGTTATTTTAATAAAAATTTAGATGTGCTTGGTAAATAACTACATAAGCACCATAACTTTTTAAGATTTTGTTTCATTTCACAGGTTCAGCTGTCTTTCTCTTTTTGTTAAATGTCAGTTTTGTCTGAGAGTGTTAGTACTGCTGGCCTCGTTTCATGTGAGTGTGATAACTGACCTGTAATGGCTTTAAAAAACAACAACAAGTTTGTGAATCTGTACGTTTTCTGTACAGTTTAGTCTCAAAGTGACTTAGGAGTAAATAGCCCTGCTCACAAACCCCATAATCCATCATCTGTTTCTCCCCATATGGCCCTGGGTTTTTCACATCCAGGAGATACCAAGATCTGCAGTGGAGATAAGAGGCCACCTTGAATCTTCAAGACCAGTAGACCTTGATAGACCATTCTGCATGGAGTTGTCCACTCCCTTGTTAAAGAGACACAACCATCACAACATCTTACGATCATTAATTTTACAGAATTATTGTTCGGAAAAAAATACTTATTTTCTTTGGTGGGAACACTCTAATTTTGACATTTGACAAGAGAGAAGAAAATCTTCTCCAGATCTTCTTTATCAAAGCCAAGTATGATTTTTATACCGGTCATGCCTGCTTTTTTTTACGTGCTTTGTCCCATGCAGCGTGTTCCTTGTTGGTGGCATCCCATGGATTAATGGGTCACGCTTTCCTGATTAAGATGTGTTTTGTTAATTAAACTATCTCCTTTCCTGTTCATTGAGTGTGTCCTTTTGGGTTTGAGTCACACCTTAGGAGCAAAAGGGCCTTGCTGAGCATCATTCTCCCCATAAAACATGAGGCAGGGGCCTTGCATTCTGCCCCCCTGGCTAGATTTGTAGGAATTAAATCCAAGGCATCTCCCACAGAGGGTTGCAGGTTCTCCTTTTCATGGGAATTTGTCATTAGTTTTTGGATTTTTCCCATGACTGTCTAAGCCAACCTGTTGATTGGGCTTGACGTATAAGTAGTCCTCAACGTACAATCTGGGTCTAGAATTTCCTTTGCTTAATAAGGTTGTTTTAAATAAGTCACACCCAATTTTATAAGCTCTTTGGGCCATGGTTGTTTAACTGCAGTCATTAAGCGAATTGTGCAGTCATTAAGTGAATCTGGCTTGCCTAATGGACTGCTTGTTAGAACGCCGCCTGGAAAGGTCGCAAACGGCAATAACCCGACCTCTCCAACTATTGTAAATACAAGCCAGTTGCTAAGTTTAACCACGTTGCAGTGGTCGTAATTGCGAGGTCACAAGTCATTTATTTCAGTGCCGTTGTGACTTAGAACAGTTGCTAAAAACGTGGTGATAAGTCAAGGACTATTTGTACGGTATGAACTCTGCCACTGTACATTGTTTGTTTATTGTACCTTCTTGAGAAACTTTTCTGATTTATTTAGTCACGAAGGATTTCATGTCATGTAACCGAGCGCGCCTGTGGCTGAAGAGATCTCACCGGAAAAGCATTTCAAAGGAAAAACAGAGTTCATCAGGCACATCTACACTTCCTCTTGTTTGGTGCCGATGAAAGTCACTGAGATGCATCAGGTTGCAAAGAGATTGGCTCGCACAACGGAGTCAGAGACAATTTAATAATTCATGTTTTTTATTTTTGTCCATTTTGCATTCCTGGCTGAGATAACGATCTCAACGATCTCAATTCAAACAGATGTTTAGGGATTCCTGTCCTTTTTTTCGCCTGATTTTTTTTTTCTCACCTGATTTTTTGCAGCTGGTCCTTCGCTCTGCTCGTAGCCTCTAAATCTACCTATGCCTAGTGATGGATGGGAAGCGTCCCATTTCCCACGTGCAAATTCTGCCAAGTAATCAGACTTTGGGCTGGATTTGCATCTGTTTAGAACCAGAAGTGAGCCACTTGAAACCACAGACGATTGCAAGATTTACAAGTGCCTCTTTCCTCTTTCAAAAAAAAAAAACAACAACTTTGGGAAGGCAGTTTAGTCAACCTTCATATAATGAATAAATATTTCTTGCTCCTTTACAAAGAGGACAGGCAGCAGTTCCTCCTTGTGGTTTTATCCGGATGTTCTTGGTGATCACTTTTGAGGAATTCTCACCGAAAATGTAAATATATTTGGCTTTTCCAGATAATTTATCCTTCTCTCGCTGGTTTCTCCAGAAACAGTATTTTTTCCAGAAAGCCGGACAATTTTATTGAATGCGCTTTCTTGCATTTCCTTCATGGGTGGTGCTTTGTATTTTCAGAGACTCAAAATTAAAAACAGTTTTTGAGAAGGTGCTGAGAAATTATCTCTGAGAAAGATTCCCCTTTTCCTTCCTACCATTTTCCATGCTGCTGGTGCTTCTCTCCAACCCCAAAGGCAAAGGCGTTGAGAAAATTAAATCTGAGATAACAGGGCGGTTTCTTTTCATAGACGAATATTCCACCAGTGAAAGGAAAAAGATTCCCGTAGGACGTTGGTGCCGCAATGGATTTCTCCCGATAAAACGTGGTAGGAGAAAAAATCATCAATGAACGTGCAGGAGAGGCCCAGTGGCTCCAGGAGGGAGCGGACTTTCACTTCCAAGCAACACTGGCCATGGATGATGGGTCCATATGGCTTGGGAATACCCAGGTGTTTCCCTAAGACAAGCATATTTACCTGCAGAGAAGACAAAAGAATTGAATTGATTTCTCTTCCATCTCTTCCTTCCAAGCAGAATAACAGAGTAGGAAGGGACCTTGGAGGTCTTCTAGTCCAACCCCCTGCTTAGGCAGGAAAACCCTATACCCTATACAATCTCTTCTTTAAAACTTCCAGTGTTGGAGCATTCGCAACTTCTGGGGCAAGTTGTTCCACTGGTTAAATTGTTCTCACTGTCAGCAAGTTTCTCCTTAGTTCTAAGTTGCTTCTGTCCTTGATTAATTTCAACTCATTTGTTGCTTCTTGTCCTGCCTTCAGGTGCTTTGGAAAATAGGTTGACCCCCTCTTCTTTGTGGCAGCCCCTCAAATATTGGAACACTGGTAGTTCTTTTTTTCATTAAACTAGACGTACTCAATTCCTGCAACCATCCTCCAGCCCCCTAATCATCGTTGTTGCTCTTCTCTGCACTTTTCTAGAGTCTCAACGCCTTTTTTTTAATGCTGTGGCAACCAAAACTGGATGCAGTATTCCAAGCGTGGCCTTACCAAGGCATTATAACACGGTGTTAACACTTCACACGATCTTGATACTCTCCCTGTGTTAATGCAGCCTAGGATTGTGTTGGCTTTTTGGGCAGCTGCAGCACACTTGTGACTGTTACATCAGCGCCCAAAGCATCCCTTCATTCAATTTTGTAAAGGACGCCTTGTTGCCCAGAATTGAGTAAAATTATTCCCATCCTGATGTCTTTTTTTTTATCTGCTAAGTGGTTTAAAGTCTAAACTTCCCTTTTTTTGAGCCAACAGGAGTTAGCCATTGTTCATGATTAGAAGCCATGGCTTGGAGTTACCAGTGCTGGTTGACCATTGTCTTCATTGCTAAACTTCCACCCCAAGTATTTTTTTTAAAGAAAAACTCCCTTTTGGCCACTACCCATTTCAACATAAAGATATTAAATGCAACACTAGGATAAGAACATTAGGAAGTTTTCCAGTTTATCCCTTTGGCAGATGGAAAGTGTGGTAGATTATTCCAAAGTTGTTGTTTTTTCAGAAGGAAACTGAGCTTTCCTATTTTTCTTTGAAGACATTTCACTTCTCATCCTCATTCTTCAGAGCTGAAGAAGCTTCTTGGATGAGAAGTGAAACATCTTTGAAGAAAAACAGGAAGGTCCAGTTGCCTCTTGAAAAAGCATCTTCGGGACAACCATGGCCTGGATCAGGGGTCCCCAACCACCGGTCCGCGGACCGGTACCGGTCCGTGGAACAAGTCCTACCGGGCCGCTGGCTTGCTGGGCGCCGCCATCTTGTTTTGATGAAAAAGTGCTTCCGGTGAGCTCACCGGAAGCACTTTTTCATCAAAACAAGATGGCGGTGCCCAGCTGATGTCGGTACCGGGCCGCAGCGTAAAAAAGGTTGGGGATCACTGGCCTGGATGACTGAAAATCTCCATAGACATGGTAGATTATAAATCTCTGTTGTTCTATCCGGGGAACTTTGGAATTGAAACCCAGCCTGGGTGCTGGCTGAGTCCCGTAGGATGCTCAGGAGGGATGCTTGCTTTGGAAACACCAATGAGAAGGAGGGTCTCTCACCATGTCCGGGAACAAGGCTGTCGCGGTGGATCCTTCAAGAGTAAAGAGCTGGGGGATATCAATGATGTCTCGTTCGGTCAGTCCGAGTTCCCGCTTTAAAATACTCCGGTTCCAGTCAATGCAACTCTGCAAAGAGGAACAGAACGACAAGGTGCACATCCGGTTAAATCAGGGGTCTCCAAACCTGGCAACTTTTAAGACTTGCGGACTTCCACTCCCAGAATTCCTCAGCCAGCAGTGGAATGCTGGGAGTTGAAGTCTGCAAGTCTTCAAAGTTGCCAAGTTTGGAGACCTCTGGGTTAAAGCTTTAATTCATACTACTTGTCCTTGAGGCATTTGATACCTCTGGCTTGACATTCTTCTCATCAATGTCCCGAGTTTAACGTCCAAGTAATGATCTATTACAGGTAGTCCTTGACTTATGTCCACAATTGAGCCCAAAGTATCTAATTGAGATGATTATTAAGTGAATTTTGCCTCATTTTACGACTTTCCTTCCCCAATTGGGAAGTGAATCACTGCAGGCCTTGCGTTAGTAACAGGTTGTTAAGTGAAACGGGCTTTCCGCATTGACTTCGCTGATTAGAAGATCACAAAAAAGGGATCGAATGACCCGTGATGTGTCATAAATATGAACCAGTTGCCAGGCATCCAAATTTTGATCACCTCTGACCATGTGGATGCTGTACTGGTTGTAAGTGTGAAAAATGTGCCTAAGTCACTTTTTTCAGGGCTGTTCTACCTGTTGTACCTTTGAATAGTCACTAAGTGAGCCCTTGTAAGTCAAGGTCTGCTTGTCTCAATTCCTATGAAATAGGTTGGGTTGAGAGAGAATAGGAGCCTAGAATCACCCCGGGAGGGTAGATTTGAATCTGGACCTTCATCAGTACACCACAGAGCAGGGGTCCCCAACCACCGGGCCGCGGACCGGTACCGGTCCGCGGAACAAGTCCTACCGGGCCGCTGGTTGCTGGGCGCCGCCATCTTTTTTTGATGAAAAAGTGCTTCCGATGAGCTTTTCCGGGTAGAAAGCTCACCGGAAGCATTTTTTCATCAAAAAAAGATGGCGGCGCCCAGCTGATGCCGGTACCGGGCCGCGGCGCCCAGCTGATGCCGGTACCGGGCCACGGCATAAAAAAGGTTGGGGATCACTGCCACAGAGGCTTTAAATTTCTTTTTTTTTTCATATAGGATTTAACTGTCACACCAGGCTGTCCAACTTTGTCACTTTTAGAGGTGTGGGATTTTGCTTCCTGTAATTCCAGCATGTTTGAAATTTAAAACATATTTGATAAGGTGTAGTTCTGGTTAATAATTTGTCCTTTGAAAGAATATTAGGGTTCCAGAAACTTAATTGTTTGCCCTCGTCCTGATGAAGTGGTTCGATAAGAATACAAAAAGAAGGGTGGGACATATTATAGAAAGGGACATGTAAACTTAAAAAATACTTGTGGTTGTTGATTTAAGGAGAGGTTTTAATCTTTCTAAAACAAAACAATAGTTCTTTGCTCAGCTGAGGACTCCAAGGAGGTAGTATAAACTATGTGGTATTTCAAAGGATAATATACCCGTTTTCCATCGGATGCAGTTTTTTTTTTTAAACCAAACAAAAATAATTTTTCCAGCTTGTTAGGAAATAAGAACCTAGGATTTGAAAACAAGTAGCTGATAACTCCTTATTACAATTATTTGACAGACGTTAGATCCAAAAAGAGGATCTGACACCAACGAAAGAAGGAAATTACTAAAAGTGACCTAGACAAAATCTTAGAAGTTGAATGTTGCAAACCAGCTTCTTAGAAAAGTCGTACACAAAGGAGCATCTTAAGATTCTGGGTTCATTTTTATATCTCTAAATAATTGGTCAATGGTTCCTTAACGGTTGGGAATTAATTGTGCAATGGAGAATTTCTGCCTTTTTTTCTTTTTTTTTAATGTGGTGTATTTCAGAAATCTTTGCAAAGGAGAAAAACGCACTTGAATTTCCTACCTAGTGTAGAAAATGCCACACTTTTGTTACTGTTTTTTACCTGAACATATTTGCTGTCTTGGCGCAAATTTCTGTCCATCAGGATCTCATTGAGGGTAATTTTACCCACCTTCCTTAGACCTGGAAAAAAATAAAGATTTATACGTCAGGAAGCGTGGTCTCTCATGGAATCAGCCAGGAAGAATAATGTTGGAGCTCACCTTCAAATAGGGCAGCATTCCCATAACCTTCTTTTTGCTTTTCTTCAAACAGCTTCAGGCAAGCGAGGGGACTAGCCAGAAGCAGCCGGAAACCCTGCGCGGAGACACCCCACCACCCAGGAGGGTAAGTATCTGAGTTAAATTTTATTCCCATGGTATAACTGGATGTGGGATATTTGCTGTTGTTTGCTTCCTGCGATGTCAGTTGAACTAACATGCCAGTGTAGAGTTGTAATTGCAGGAACGTTCCTATCTCGGATGGCAAACCTCAGATAAAGAATGTTTACAAGCAGATACAACTCAGGCAAACAAAGTCACTCATCTAATGGAGGATTAGAGAGAGGAAGTAAATATATGTTAGACTTTAACTAGAGATAATTAATTGTGTTAATTACTATTATGCTAAACAGTAACGAAAGTTAAGCAGTAACCAGAGTTAACCAATGTTGGAGGATTACTAAAAATGTGTATAAATGCAAGACTAGACTCCAGTAAAGTTCATCATGATTCAGTTGATCATGATCAAACAACTTGACTGCCTCGTCATTACAACATGCCAGTTAGTTAATTAGAATGCTAATAGAGGTAGTTCTCATCTTACAACCAGAATGGAGACCAAGAGTCCTGTCGCTAAGCGAGACAGGCCACACCTGGAATACTGGAACCAATGTTGATCACTATGCTACAAAACAGGTGTTGAGACTTTGGAAAAAGTTCAGAGAAGAGCAACTAAGATGATCCAAGACCTGGAGACTAAACCATATGAAGATTGGAGGTTGGAGGATTTGGGTCTGGCTAATCTAGAGAAAAGAAGGACTAGGGGAGACATGATAGCAGGATTCCAATATTTGAGGGGCTGCCACAAAGAGAAGGGGGTCCAATTATTTTCCAAAGCACCAGAGGGCAGGACGAGCCTTCTAGTCCAACCCTCTGCCGAATTCCCCCGTCGATCCATACCTTATTTCCTGGAGCCGGAACGAAGCTCAAGAATTCATCCACGTGACCCACTGTCAGCCAATCTGAATAAAGCTCTACAGGAGCTTGAACTTTCTGAGCGTAAAGAAAATCTCGGACAACTTTTGTCATTTTCCTGTTGCCGGATCTAAAAGTGTTGGATAAAGAGAGAAGGTGGGAAATGCAGAAGCTCTAGAACAATACAGATTTCTTACATGTTGAGAAGGGACCTCTTGGGGATGTCTCTTTTGAGGTAAAGCTTACAGAAAAAGTCAAGGTTTAGGTTGCCTCTCGCTCTACATTATTGGTGGGGTAAATAGAAGATTTAAGTGAGGGCTTCTTGACCTTGGCCACCAAATGAGAAAAGAGAAGACTCTAATGTTTGGAATGATGGACTGCAAAAGGAGAAGAGGACAGCAGAGGATGAGATGGTTAGACAGAGTCATTGACTCAACCATTGACTCAACCATTAAGCAGACTAAGCACGTGTTTAGCGCACCAGGCCCAAAGGGGACACCACAAACACTTTGATGTAGGTTTCGTTTGTATAGTATGTACGAAGGAAGGGGGCACCAAGATTTGTCAGTGCTTAGGGCACCAGGGAACCTTAATCCGCCGCTGGACGCAAGGAACGTGATTTTGGGCAAATTCCAGGAGACTGTGGAGGACATTGGGGTGGCTGGCATGCCGTGGTCCATGGAGAGTCAGACACAACTTGGCAACCGAACAACAAAATGCTAGACCATAAATGGCCATGGGTCTTTTCCCTGGCTCTCCAGCCTTCACCAAAGGCCTTGGTTACAAGGAAAAGAGAAGAAGCAGGAAGGCGGGTTAGTGACCCCCTCCGCTCATTGCAGTCATCAAAACTGGTTCGAGTACAAAGTACCAAAGCCCCTTGGTGGCTGGGGAATTCTGGGAGTCGAAGTCTTAACGTTGCCAAGGTTGGGAAGCTTGGAGGGAGGAGCAGATCATCTGTAGAGATTCTCCGTCATCCAAGTCATGGTTGTCCCAAAGGTTGGGAACTCTGCAGACTTTTAGCTAGACAATTTGGGATGAACCCCCTTTGAATGGTGTGGGAGAAGGAAGGGATTTCCAGAGAGGAAAAAAATTGCAGACTACAGGAACCAGAAGCACCACTCGGGTGACTCTGAGGACACAGATAAACCTCCAAGTGGCCTGAACGACCCTCTAAAAGGATGCCAATGACCGGCTGTCTGCAAGGAATATCAATCCTTCCCTTCCCCACTATCCTGTCAGAGCTGAAGAAGCTTCTTGGATGAGAAGCGAAATGTCTTCAAAGAAGAGAAACAAAGAAAAGCATCTTTGGAAGGAGCACCTCATTTTCCTCTGCAGCTGTTCTCAGCCACGGGAAGCCAGATTTGCTCTCTCTCTTGCTATTTCCTCCATCGGCAGGACTAGTTTTAATCACAGGTGACTTTGGTGCTTGAACCAGTTTGGTGACTGCAAGGAGCAGACGGGTGATTAACTTGCCTTCCTAGTGTTTCTCATTTACTTTTGCTGAGCGTGGTTGGTTGGCGGATGGCATTCAGGGAAATAAATCTCGGTTTCTTTGCAACCAAGGCATCTACAGACTTGGCGGCCCAAGGGCATGCAGGCTGGAGAGCCAGAGAAGAAAATGACCCATGACCATTTATGATTTAGCTTTCTGCTAAATCATGTCCCGACTCTTCACCACCCCATGAACCACACCATGGCAGGACTGCCTGCCCCCCCCCCGAGTTTGCCCAAATTCACGTTCGTTGCGTCGATGAATCTATCTAACCATCTCATTCTCTGCTATGCTCATCTCCTTTTGCCTTCCATCTTTCCCAACATCTTCTCCAAGGAATCCTTCTTCTAATTTGGTGAGCAAACTATTTGAGCTTCAGCGTCAGTATCTGACCTTCCAAAGGACAGTCTGGGTTGATTTCCTTTAGGATTAACTGATCAGATCTCCTTGCAACCTAAGAGTCTCTCAAGAACCTTCTCCAGGACCATAGGGTCTGACTACCTGGATGCAGGTTTTTGGGGGACCAGTGGTGGTGTTGGCTCCTGCAAGTGGTATAAACTCCTTGGTTGTATCAACGGGCAAGGAATCAAAATCACGTGAAGTATTACTACCACTTTATCAATCCTTAGTAAGGCCATCCTGGAATACTGCATCCATTTTTGCTTACCGCATTACAAAAAAGATGTTGAGACTTTGGAAAAAGTACAAAGAAGAGCAACTAAGATGATTAAGAGATCAAAACATATGAAGAACATTTGCAGGATTTGGGTTTGGCCAGTCTAGAGAAAAGAAGGACTAGGAGGGACAGGATAACAGTATTCTAGTATTTGAGGGGCTGCCACACAAAAAAAGAGGGGGTCAACTTATTTTTCCAAAGCACCAGAAGGCAAGACAAGAAGCAATGGAAACTCATCAAGGAGAGAAGCAACCTGAAACTAACGGTGAGGACAATTAACCGGTGGAACAGCTTGCCACCAGAAGTTGTGAGCGCTTCCTCACTGGAGGTTTTTAAGAAAAGACTGGATAGCGACATTGTATAGGGTCTCCTGCTGGAGCAGAGGGTTGGACTAGAAGACCTCCAAGGTCCCTTCCCACTCTATTCTGGTTGATTGAAGTATTAAAGAGTGATGGAAAACAGGGGCATCAAGACTTCCTTACCCAGGAAAACTGCTGCCGATGAGGATCCGTCCCAAGGAATAATCTCTTCCCTTGACCGAGACAGGTGGGCTGATGTCCAGGTTACCAAAAGAGTCCAGACTGGACACTCTCCCGTTCTTGGGCTCCCGAGTGACATACCCAAAATCAGGGCCCTTGATAAAGACAGAGGATAGAGCATTGTAAAAGCCCCGAAAAGATGATTTTAAAAAATAATAACAGACTCCCTGAAGAATCATCTATCCCTTGGAAGCCGAATCCTGTTATTTATGGCGCAAAAATGTTGTTTGCATTTTTTTCGCGGAGGACTTTTCCTCGTTTTTTGTGAAAGAGGATTACTTAGTGCAGCTCAGATTCCTTCTGGCTGAAAGTCCGTCCTTATTTTGTTGAGGTTCCTCAGAGAAAGGAAAGACGGTCCTGTTTCTTTTCTGCCGTTCTAAGGAGAGGAGAATCCGGTCTTTCTTGGCCAAGAAAGGATGGGAGAAGTTGGCTTACCAATATCTTCTTGAAAGGGAATTCCTTCAGACCCCGATTCCTGGGAGAATCGAAGACGACAGGGAAGGATTGATGAGGAGCCTCTACGTAACCAAATTCCATCTCATCCTATTGGGGAAAGAAGGACAGAATAACCAGAGTGGGAAGGGAGTTGGACCTTGGAGATCATCTAGTCCAACTCCCTGACCAAGCACAAGATCCTGTACCACGGGAACAAATGTCTATCCAGTCTGTTCTTTAAAAAAAACTCCAGTGATAGAGAACCCACAACTTCTGGAGGTTCTACTGATCGTTTGATTAGTTAATTGGTTTTCACTGGTTAATCGCAGAAGAGATTTGGTCAAGGAGGAATTCAGTTTGGGTCCCCAATGGATATACCTGAATCCAGCGGTCTCCCCTGTTTTCAACTTCTGGGCAAATGGTTAATTTGCAGTTGGCTTTCTTTGCAAGAAGTTTGATGGCCTCCAGGAATTTTTCGTTGGAGTTGATACCCTTATCAATGCTAAACGAAAAAGAAGATGGCGACAGGAACTACAACGGAGAAATTTAGATGACCAAGGAACGCTCCCTTAATTTAGGAGGCCTTCTTCATAACTCCCCCAGTTAAATTTCTGCCCTGCCCTCCTCTCGTTGGAGATGCGTTTCCAAAAATCTAAATTTAGGATTATTTTGGTGAATGAGTATTGTTACCCCAAGGAAGGGGAAGGGGGAAATCTGCTGGTGTTTTGTCATTACCTGCAGACGAAGATCTCCAGGGGTCTCTGGGTGTTGGGGGTCATGAGCCAAGGGGCTACCTGGAAAACCACGGTATCCGTGAAAACTGGAGTGGCTGGTGAGGTCTGGAAAGAGAGGAGGAAAGAAAATGGATGACGTTAGGGCCAGCACCTTCCAACTCTAACTCGGGTTTCCTTCCAAAAAGTGGTCTGCAGGACAAAAAATGCTGGGTTTTCATCCAGTTAGCCCATAGTTGCTTTTATATAAAGCAATCAATCAACAAGTCAGAGTCAATCAGAACAGAGTTGGAGGGGACCCTGGAGGTCTTCTAGTCCAACCCCCTGCTGAAACAGGAGACCCAATACCATTTGAGACAGATGGTTGTCTCTTCTCAAACACCTCCAGTGATGGAGCGCCCACAACTTCTGGAGTTATTCCACCGGTTAATTAGGAAGTTTCTCCTTAATTCCAGTTTGTTTCTCTCCTTGATTAGTTTCCATCCATTGATTCTTGTCCTGCCTTCTGGTGCTTTGGAAAATAAGTTGACATTCTCCTCTTTGTGGCAGCCCCTCAAATACTGTAATACTGCTATCATGTCACCCCCAGTCCTTCTATTCTGTAAGCTGGCCATACCCAATTCCTGCAACCGTTCTTTATATGTTGTCGTCTGCGGGCCTTTAATCATCTTAGTTGTTCTTCTTTGCGCTTTTTCCAAGATCTCAGTACCTTTTTGTAATGTGGTGACCATACCTGGATGCAGTATTACAGGTGTGTCCTTACTAAGGCTTTATAAAGCAGTGCTAATACTTCACATGATTCTATGCCTCTGTTTATACAACCAAGGATTATATTAGCTTTTTTGGCACACTGCTGGCTCATGTTTAAGTGATTATCCACTGGGAAAGGATTTGTCCACTCCAAAGTCTCTCTCACAGTGACTGTTTTTGAGCCAGGTTTCACCTAATCTGTACTTGTACCTTTGGTTTTTTTCCTGCCTGTGTAAAATCTTTCTTTTCTCCTCATTAAATGTCATCTTGTTGGATAGGGCCTAGTCTATCCAAGCCATATATCTGCGATTGAGCGCTCCAAAACCAAACCTTAACGAATCATCTAACATTGGCATGAAAAACAGGCTGGAAATACCTCACCAACCTGTGTCTCAGCCTTTTTGAACTGGACATATCAAGGGTTATATCCAAGACATCTGGGTTTTATGATTGTCTCACAAAACAGCTCTGGATCTCCCCTGCATTGCCTGTGGCTTCAAAGGAACTATTTCTGTTTTGACTTATTGTTCTTTTCCAGGTTTATTAACTCCCCCAGAGTGACAGCTGTCAAACTGATATTGTGACAAATACAGGATGCTGTGTTTTACAATGAAGACAGGGAAGCAGCAGAGGGATGAAGGCTAGGGAAAACCTATCTTACACCCAAAACACAGAGAATGGAAACCAAAAATAACAGGCTATATATGAATCATGGATTACAATAAAGAATATTTTACCGAGCTAGTCTGCTCCAGCAGCGTGGCGTTCAAGGACACGAAGCCGTTGAAGTCTCTGTCTGGGAAGGCGAGGCCTTCCACGTAAAACGTATGTTCTCCTCGTCCATCTGTAGGTTGTACTGTGTAGGACAGCTTGTCTGACCCCAAAATGTTCTCGTAGTTGGAGACGGAAGTGTTTTCTGTTGAGGGAACATACCCGGAGAGATTTCCATCCAATGGAAAGGAAGTCAACAGGAATAAATAATCACATGCCCTGGAACCAACGCCTCTCATTCAATTTGCAATGGAGGAAAACTCTCAGATTGGAGATGTTTTCTGGATCTACTGCAAATGCAGATGGTAGCATCTGGGTAAACTTTGAGCCTGAAAGCAAAGCCCGTTTTAGCCTGGTTGATTTCTAGAAAGGAAACACTGAGAAAGACCCTACAAAGCTGCGTGGACATTTAATCCAATTGTCCCCTTATATAGAGTTAGGCTTCTCCAACCAGATGCTACAAAGCCTCCACACAATTCCCGGTTTCAAGCTCTTCCATTGCGTAGAAGACCAAGAGAATGGCTCAGAACGACAGGGGGAACAAGCCGCTACCAAGGCAAGGTCCCATAAGAATGGTGTGATCCTGTTCCAAGAAACTAATCGGAGAGAATCTCTCAAGACAGATCCCTCCCTAGATCAAAACGAGGTAGGAGAAGGCCAAACCGACTTGCAAGGTTCTGTCACTTCAACTAAAGATCAAGAGCGATCAAGAGCAGTTCTGACCTAGTTGGCTTTGATCTCTTCATCTGGTCCACCTTGTTGGGCTGACCCATGGGAAAGGCAACTCGATGATATATTAACACACACACGCTAGAAGACTCCACCAAGCCAGGGAGGAAGGACCTAGCTACTTACCAGCCGCGTGGAAAACTCTCACTTTCGCAGCATCAAACATGGAGATGTGAAGGATCAGTTTGTGGTTGTCGAAGATCCCGGCAGGGCTGTTGATATTGAGAATCACAAGGGACAAGTCTTGAAGATCTGGAGAAGAGAAGAGGGAGAAGGGTTTGGTACGGAGACAGTAGGCCATCAGCCACGTCATTTTGGGCCCTCACTAAGTGCAGGATTGAGTTGTGAAGAACTCAACTGTTGGATTCCTTCTGGAGGAAGTCTTAGGATGGAAAATAAACTAATCTTTCTTGCGGAGGCTTAGTATTATGAGCTACCCAAGAACCTTATTGGGTCATCCAAGACCCTCCTTTTTATCCCAAGAAAGGTGCAAAAATAGATCCATTTATTTCTACCTTGCTGATTTCACTATGTATTTCTCACTTCTGCACAGCTTTGATCCTACATTAAGCGGTGCGTTTCCCACTTTGGGTCGTCTCCTCGTTAGAAGATTGAATTGATTCCACCCTGAACTCATCCAAGCTTCCTTGACAGAACCTCTTCTGTCACCCTCAGGCAACAGAGCCAGGAGGAGAGTGACAGCCGTTGGTCCTTCTTTTCTTTTGGGGTTGGCTCACCTCTTACCAACCACCTGCCCTGCCCAGATGTGGCTGCTTCTTCAAACATTTATTATTCTCTGTCCTTCGAAGGGCCTCCGGTGAATGACACTCCATAAATATTGTCAGATTAAACAAGACAAGGACACAAGGATGATCCTTTTAAAATGTCAAATAGCAATAACAAAATACAATCATAAAAGAGCATTTGGCAGGTGGGGGGGATGTTTAGCCAGAAAGTCTTGAATCCAAAAAGTAAAATCTTCAGCTGGCCCCAAAATACAAAGAGTGTTGACATCAAGAGTGGCCTTCAGGGGAAGTTGACTCAAAGCACGGAGTCCCACCATGAAGAAGGCTTCAGATGTCCTGGGATTCAATCCTTCCATTGTTATATGGATGCCTGAATACCCACCTGCATGGGATCGCACATAAGGATAGGTGTAGTCCATGTTTCCATGGCTTGGACCATCTCGGTCACAGTTCACCAACAATACCGCACCTTGTCCATCTGGTCCCCAGGTCCATTTGGTCTGTCGGGGGGAGAAGAAGAAAGAAGTGAAGGATTTCACTACGTCAAGGAGGACTTGAGTGCATCCAATTGTCTTCCAACATCTCTTCCAGCTTTAACGCAAAGAGGTTGTCCATGTTTCAGAACATCTCTGTTGACCTCCCTTCTCCAAGATGAAAGAACATAGCTCTGGACAAAAGTCCTTCAGTCTACATGACCAACGGAGTCTTGTCCAGAAATTGATCCTTGCGTCGAAATCCAACCTTACCTTGTTGGTAGCGTAATTCTGGACGGTTCCAGTTCGGCTGGTATCAGCGTCCAGGGAGAGGGCTAAGAGAGTGACAGAATTAAAACATTATCTTTCTTTTGCCTTTGGGTTTCACTTCTCAAGTCCAGGACTTCAAAAACAAGCATCCTGCTGTTCTAAAAGAGCTTGAAAACAGGTTTATCTTCCATGTTACCTAGTGTGACCAGAACTATAATTCCCACCCTTGTTCGCCATGGCTTCCTACCTACCCTTCACACAGAATGGCTGAGAAACCTTGCAAGGCTAATCCAAAACAAAGCCGGAATCCACAATTTCCCTGCAGGGTGGAGAAATTTTGAGAGGTGCGCCATCTCCTCCCCCTTGTGCCTTAAGGCCCAGGAGAAAATACAAATAGCTGGTCAAGCCGATGCTTACCTACACACGTGATGTACACCCAAGCTTCAGCAATCGGTGTGCGACCTGTTTGATCGTAATAGGACACTCTGACCTACAAAGAGAACAAACACAGCCAGGTCACCGCTGAGCTGTCAGACAGGTTAATATGTCAGTTTCCCTCCTGTTGAGACATGACCAGTGGTGGGATTCAGCCAGTTTGCACCAGTTCAGCACAACCGGTTGTTAAACTTTCTGAGCAGTTTGTTGAACTGGTTGTTGGAAGAAATCATTACAGCAGAGAGAACCGGTTGTTAAATTATTTGAATCCCACCACTGGACGTGACCTGTGTGAGTCCTTGTTCTGTGATGGCAACAGGAAATCCCACAGATGGCTGGACGTAGAGGTGAACTCAAAGGAGCACCTAACTCCAGCTTTACAACTCAAGAAGGGCTTATTTAGGAGTAGGACCTTGCCCACGGTCCCTCTGGGATTTCAGATCCTCTCTTCTGAAGACTCTCTCCACCAACCTGGCCCAAAGACCCATGGGATTCCCGACCATCTCAGTGGAGCATCAAGATGGCCCCCTCACCTTGTTATCGTTGACCGCACTGCTAAAAGCCTTCAGAGACACGATGACCTCGGTGTCTGCATCAAGAGACCACCTCTTCGAACCTTCAGGCTTGGGGAGGTGCCTGGGGTCGTAGGTCACGTAGACTTGGAGCCCTCCTGTGCCACGGGCTTCGAAAGAGGTGGCCCCCCTGGGCCTGGAACTAGGGTCAAGTCAAAGAACACAGATCTGTGTGGAATTACTCGTTTCTTCAAGAAAGGTATGGCTGATCTAGAGGCAAGGCTTTATCTAGACTGCAGGTATCAATGGCCAACTTTTGTGTTTGGTCTTCGGTTTCTGGATTTGTGGCCAGGAAGAAGACTTGCAAAATCCAGAAGGATTTTGATGAATTTAAGCCCGAAGGCTGTGACTACTCCACGGTTGGGTTTAGAGCCAGAGGTGGGTATTCAGCAGGTTCTGACCAGTTCTGGAGAACCAGTAGTGGAAATTTTGAGTTGTTCAGAGAACCGGCCAACCCCACCTCTGACTGGCCCCACTCCCATCTATTCCCTGCCTCCCATTGAGTCCCAGCTGATCGGCTGGGTCTCCTTTGGTTGCCCTGCACAAGAGAACGGAACTGGAAAGCAGGTTATGGGGAGGGAAGGGGGATTTTGCAGTATATCCTTCCCCTGCCACGCCCACCAAGCCACGTCCACAGAAAGTTACAATGACACTGAAAAATGTGACACATGGCCCTTCTTCACAGTTACGATCTCTGTAACATCGCCACGCGTCACGTGATCAAAATTCAGATATTGGCAACTGGCTCATATTTATGACGATCGCAATGTCCTGAGGTCATGTGATCCCCTTTTGTGACAAGCAAAACCAATGGGGAAGCCAGATTCACTTAACGACCATATTACTAACTTACTTATCAACGGCGGGGCTTCACTTAACCACTGGAGCCAAAAAGGTCGTAAAATGGAGCCAAAGTCACTTAACGAATGCCTCACTTAACAACAGAAATTTGGGGGGCTTTGTGGTCGCAGGCTACTTCTACTGACTACTGGCTGCCACAGTTTGGCAGTTCGATTCTTACCAGGTCGACTCAGCCTCCCATCCTCCTGAGGGGGGTCAAATGAGGACCCAGATTGTTGGGGGCAAAGAGGCTGACTCTTTAAAACCACGTAGAGAGGGCTGGGAATCACTGTCAAGCAGTATATAAGTCTAAGGGCTATTCCTATTAAGAGCCATGGAGGCACAGTTGTTAGAATGCAGCATTGCAGGTTCATTCTGCTAACCGCCAGCAGTTCAATCCTGACCGGCTCAAGGTCAACTCAAAGTCAACCTTCCATCCTTCTGAGGTGGGTAAAATGAGGACCCAGATTGTTGGGGGCAAGAGGCTGACTCTGTAAACCGCTTAGAGAGGGATTTAAAAGCACTGTGAAGCAGTATATAAGTCTTAAGTGCTATTGCCATAGGGAAGAAAAGGAAAAAAAATTACACAGGGAAGAAAAGGAGAGAGGGAAATGCTGTATAGGATGCGAAAGGATAAGTTTTATGAAACCGGATTTATATGTGGTGTTGGCTTCCTTCTCTTTCTTTTGTTCTCTCTCTTCAATGTCTTGAAGCGACTTGTTAAGTGATGATATATTACTCTGGCAGTACACTCAGTTACTCTCAAAAGGGGAGAATCCAAGGCTATAAATCTTCCCGCAAGTCCTTCTATCAGTGTCTCCTCTTGTAGCTGCCTTCCGTAGGATTTACAAGCTGTTGCAGTACAGCCAACGGACCAACAGCTTTGCTGCGAGAATTTATACGAATGCTGCTTTAATCCATATAAGTGAATTATATGAAAAGAGGCTCCGATTTTTCCCTCAATCCTGCCATGCAAAAAAATTTTTTTAAAAAAATCCCTCTGCAAACTTTTAACCTACTCTCAACGCACTCCGTATACACCAAGGAGAAAAATGGCAAGAAATTGATGCAGCCAAGAAAGTAACCCAGAATCTTGGGTAGTCTTAAATGTGGACAGTTTGAATGACGGATTTATTTTGACAGGATTTTCTGCAAGCCAGAAAGGGTTGATTGAGTACAGAAATTGTGACATCAAACCACCCCTTTTTGCTGAAATCATTTTACATTCCAGGATTTTTTTACTGCTGAATCCTGTGATTTTTCCTCTCTGCGGCCTGCAAACATTCCAAATTACTCACGAAGGTGACCCAGGATTACTCAGTATTGTTTTTTTTTAAATCCTTTTTCAAAATAATGCATGGACATGTTTTTTTCTGTCTTACCTATGTGGTTGGACAACAATTGCGTACTTTTAGAAGGAAATGCAGTGGGGCCTCCAAAAATGTCATTACACCCACATTTTAAACAATGCCTCCTCACTTGAGCCATGGTGGCATTTTATCTTTCTAACATCAAGACATAAAATGCACCGCTATGCTGAAATAAACAGTGGAAAACGTCATCAGCAAGAAAAGCCAATTTTTCAGACAATCCTCACTTGGAGCAGATTAAGTTTTCGGTGAACTCAGAAATGTGTGTTGCATTCAAAAGGATTTTTATGCCTAAAATTGTACATGTTGGCACACCAGGGTTTCTTGTCCTACTGAAAATTGCAAACTGAAAGCAACAGAAAGAAAACGTCCAGAAATCTTTCATTTTTTTTAGGAACATTTTCTCAAACAGTGTGTGTGTGAAATTCCTTGGAGTTGTAAAATATAGTTCCTATCAACTTTTTTTTTTTTTTTTTTGCACAATTTGGTTTTCTCTGCACATTTTTTTCTGCAAAAAAAAACACAAACAAACCCAGATCTAGGTGTGACGGGACAGAAATAGCACCTTGCTCCCAGGGGTGTGCACCACTCACATCTGCATTTCAGGTTTTTGCACGCCTAATACGTTTAATGATTCTGATACCCATCCTTCATCCATCTCTCTCTCTCGCTCTCTCTCTCTCTCCCCCCCCCCCCCC